GGATGCAGCACCAAGCGCACTGAGTTGCTGCTCAGTATCTGGTCCCTGTGAGGTCAGCAGGAGAGGAAGGAAACCCTGGGGTGCTGCCAGCACCTTTTCATTTTTGCAGCAAGGCCTCTCTGCACTCAGCTCTGGTTCCCTGCCCAAGAACTGTGTGTGTGTGTGTGTGTGTGTGTGTGTGTGTGTGTGTGTAGTAGAGGCAGCACTGTGTGGGGAGGTGGCTTTCACTATCAAGGTCAAGTCAGAAGATGACAACCCAGGAGAAGAGCTTGCATCCTCCGGTGACTCAGTTTCCCAAGGTGAGGCTGGCCTTAGATCAAGGAGTTCTTGACCAGGTCACAGGACTTGACACTCTTGTCTCTGGCTCAGGAAAACCATGTGAAGCAGGGCCTATCAGGCTTGTTCCTGTCACTTGACAGCTGTGTGACCTCAGGGGAGGTATTTAACCTCTCTATGCCTCATTTCTTTATTCACCACAATGGACTGGTTATAAAAGGAAACACTGAAAAATATAACAGATATAATAAAACAGAAAGAAATGAAACTTAAGGATTAAACAAGGAAGAGGACATAAAGGAGAAAAGATAGGAAAAAGGTAGGGAAAGATATGCTAGTATGTATGCAGGATGACTGAGGTGATTGTACTAAGAACTTCCATCATTTCTTTGAAAGTAGTTAATGTGTAGAATTCTCACCTTGCCTAACTGTATTCTGATATCTGTAAACTAAGCAACTGCATTGAGGACAGCAATGTGTAATGCAAAAGCCATGCTTGAAATACCTGTCATCTTGGTCTTCTACATGTGTACCACTCCTAATGTCATATTATTTATTATTGTACTCTAAATATTTTGTAAAAGGTGAAAAGAAAAGAGACAAAAAGAAAATTTAAGGTTTCTTCAAAACAAGTGGTAATATTCAATCATATGTCCAATCTTACATAACTAGATCTGTTAATCTGAGCAACAGATTTGAGGATAAAGATAGATTCTATATCAACCATTGTTAATCAGCTATTCCTGTTTTGAAAATCTGTAACATGTATCGCTGTATGTTGTTTCTGACTTTTGTTCTTGGTTTTTATTTTGCTAAATTAAAAATGTAGGTGTTGTAATCATTCCTGATTGAAAACAATTACCACTATCAAAAGAGAATTCTGTGGAAAATAATAAGTTTAAAAAAAGAAACATTTCCGAGAACTTGTGTGAGAATTAAATACGGAAGCCTGGGGTGGAGTTCAAGGCGTGGAAAGGGATGATGGCTGCAGGACGGCCTCGGGCCACAGCATTGGGCCTCCAGGAAGGCTCTGCAGAGTTTCAAAATGTTTATTAATTTATTTAAAAATTTTCTTGGAAGGTCATTAAAGGAATAGAGTTGCTAGAATTTTCTTTGTTGCTGTTGATTTTTTTTGTTTCAGTGTCTGACTGTTACTCACCTGGCATGGAACTCCAAGTAGCTGGGCCTGCAGATGTGTGGCAGTGGTCCCAGCTTATAGCCGTGGAGTGATGGCTGCCCAGATGTGCTCAGTGGGGATGGGCAGGTCTGCGTGCTTCCCCTTCTGTGTTGACTCCCTGAGGAGACAAGCCAGCCACTGTTCTCTCAGATCTGTCCTCAGTGTGCCCCTGGACAGAGGACAGCTTTCCCACTTCTCAGACTCTGCCCTTGTCCAGGATCTGCAAGAGCCTTATTCCCTAGGTTCTTCTACCTGAAGCTCGTGGGGACAGTCCCAGGGTCCGAGCCCACTAGAGTGCGCTGTGTGTCTCCTGAGTCTCTGCCTAGATCCCCCCCACTTGGACCTTTGCCCCACTCCTGGGCTGAGAAGCTAGGCTCCCGGGCCCTGTGGCTATTGGTGCACAGGTGGGCACTGTCTGGGCACAGGAGGAACTCAGGAGGAAAGTTTCCACTCTCACTGCCAGGAGTGGCCCCGCTCAGCACCCACCAATCCATGCAAAACAGCCTGGTTTGGTGGTGTCTGCTAGTAGTTCCTGCTAAGCTTAGGCAAGAGGATCACTTTAGCCCACCCAGAAATTAAAGGCTAGTTTGGCAACATGGCAAGACTACTCCTTCAACAAACAGACAAGGCAAAGCAAAGTAAAGCAAACAAAAACGAAGCACATTTATTGTCTCAAGTTCTCTAGGGTACAAACTGGACCCAGGTCTCAGGGCTAACTCAAGGCGTGTGGAGGGTTGAAGACTCAGCCTCCTGGTTCTCTCAGTTGCAGAACAAGATCCTGGTTTCTGACAGCCACAATAGGCTACTGGCATTGTCAGAGCCAATTTAGCAATTTAGTTAGATCCTGTCTCAAAGTAAAAAGTAAAAAAGCCAGGATGTAGCTTAGTACAAAAGCCCTAGGTTCAATCTCCAGTACAGGAAGAAGAAAAATAAAACCCCTCCCTTATCCCATACCAAGCCCTTCCTGCCAGGACAAGCCCTGGGCACACATTCCAGGAGTGAGGGCAGATCTGTCCTCACTGACTCTTCTAGGGCAAGGTGCTGGGACGAGCCTAGGGCAGGGCGGAAAGTGCATATTTCAGCCTTGTGCCTCCCTATGGGAGCCTGGACATGAGGACAGGGCCATTGCTGGCACAAAGTCCCACAGGAAAGCACAGGTAGCCCCATGCCATCTGGCCAAAGCATCAGAAGGTCTAAGACAGGCCATCCCCAGACCTTCAGTGGGGCATGGTGGAAGCAATTTGCTCTGAAGGCACTGGATCAGCTCCAGACAGGAGAGGACAGGGCTCCTTTCTTCCTATCCACCACAGAAGCCAGCTTCGGTGGCAATGTGTGTGTGTGGGGGGGGGGTATTCCCAGGAAGCCTTTCCCTGCCCATCCCAGGCCAGTCCAAAGTTTTGATTCATTTTCACTTTTTGAGCCTGGGTCTCATTCTGTCACCTGGGCTGGTCTTGAACTTATCGGCTTAGATGGCCCTTCTACCCCAGCCTCCTAGGTTGATAGCTGGGACTGTGGGCACAGTCAATCTGGGGATCACCATCTCCAAGGCCTGCATTTGGCTGTTTTATCACTCAATGGCTTATGGGACATCTTGCACCTCTTGTCAGCCTGGAAACAACTTAAAACTGAGGACAGGAGCATGGGGAATGCAGCTTGTGGCATCAAGGGTCTGTGGTGGACATTCTTGCATGATGGCAGTTTTGCAGGCATTTGTTGAGTGCTTCATTTCTGTAGGTGTGAAGCTGAACACTTTGTACATAGCAGCTCAACTGCTCTGCTAAGGAACCTAAGAGGAGGTGATTTTGTTATCCCTGCAGACAAACAGCCTGACTGGAGCACATGACTTACAGGCCCAAGCTCCTGAGGCTACAGTAAGTGGGTGAGTGTGTGTGTGCATGTGGGTGTGTGTGCGTGCGTGTGTGTGTGTGTGTGTGTAACAGAGAGAAAGAGAGAGTGAGGGAGTGAGGGAGGGAGGGAGGGAAGGAGGGAGGGAGGGAGGGAGGGGTGTGGCGTCTTGGAGCATTTTCCCACACCAGAACAGAGGCATCGTCTTCTCCATCATTGCCCGCTCAACATCTGTTCTGGGAAGGGTCAGAACCCAATGCCCAGAGCCTTTGCAGTGAGCCGCATCTCCAGCCTTTTTATTTTTTTTTTTTAAGTTTTGAGACAAGGTGTTACTAGGTTGCCTAGGCTGGACTCAAACTTGTGATCCTTTTACCGCAGCCTCCCAGAGTTCTGGGATTGCAGGTGTACACCACCACGTCTGGCTCAGGCCAAATGCTAATAAAAGTTTAATTCTCCCTAATGCAAAAGAAGTTTAATCCTCCTCATTTTCTTAAGCCTATCTGTGGGGGAGGATGTGTAAAGTCCTGCTCTGTCCTTTTAGGATGTGTGTCCTGTTAGAAAGCTGAATGAACCTCTCACTCGTTTTACAACTCAAGGCCCTTTGCCACAGTGCAGACACCAAGGAAGACAGCACCTGCACAGGTCCTTGGAGGGCAGGAGCCCCCCCAGGTTGCAAAGCACCCAGCCACCAGAAAGATAAGAGCAGGCATTGTGTGAGTAAAGACAATTAGCTGACCCGGGTGAGTTCAGGATGAACGGTGTGGCCACAGCGCCATCTTGTCACTTGCGCAAGGACTGTTTATTGCTGTGGAGCATGCAGGCAGCAGGCTGCTTGGCAGCATAAGAGGTGTGGTGCTTCTGCCTTTGCAGTCTCCTCTGCAATCAGTAGTGTGTGCTATAGTCCAGATTAATAAGTATTCAGAGCTCACCTGCTCTGAATACTCTGAGTTCAATCCCCAGTACTGGAAAAAAAAAAAAAAAAAAACACCTCACCTGCTTACTCGAGTCCTCTGGATCGGCTGGAGGTCCCCTTCTTCACTTTCCTCCCAGTGCCTTCAAATGAATGAATGAGCTTGGCATTTCCAGTGCCAGAACAAAGAACAAGAATGCTGTCTTCATTTTCAGTGAATGAAAGTGCAAGGTGCACAGTGCTTTACTACCTTTACTCTCTTGAATGAGCCAGAGGAGAAAGGCTGTATTTTCATTTGCTTACATTTGCATAATCTATGAAAGACTGAAAAAGTACAGCATGCACACATGTGTGTGCCTGTGCTCGTTGTTGACAGCAACTAGGAAGACCCCATTTTATATTTTCTGATTTTTGAAAGATTTGACACCATTCACTAGTCACAACAGGGCTGGGGAGATAGCTCAGTAGAATGAGCACTTCCTGGCAAGCACAGGGTCCTGAGTTCAATCCCCGAAAGAGCTAGTCACAACAGACTAAAATGGGGTGTGCAGGGGGGGTGCAAGACAGGAAGCCAGAACAAACTAGGCAGGGAAGAAGTCTGGGGCCAGACCGCTGGCTTCACAGCTCGGCCTTGACTGCACACTGATTATATTGACATAGCTTTTGGGTCCACACTGAACTTTTCTTTAAAGGCTCATCTGAGTGTAAAAGCAAGCAATGTCTTTATTTTTTAAAAAATAAAACAAAATAACAGTCAACTCCCCCACCCACACCCACCCCCACTCGCTTCCAAGGCCTCCATCCAGACTGGTGCCATTCACGGTCCCGAGGCTAGAGCTCTGCTCCCTGCTCCCCACTGCAGGGCTGTGACCTTGGCCAGCCCCTCGCCTCCCCCTAGCTTCCAGGCGTCACCGATGGGCCGCCTAGGCAGAGCAGTCCAGGCTGCAGAAGTCTGCAGACACGAAGAGCCTCAGTACGTTGACCAGAGGGAACATGAGCAGCGCCCCGACCAGTGAGCCCAGCTGCACAGCCGCCCCACACCACACGAGGGCGCTGCGGCTCTGGTCGCGCAGGATCACGCCCAGCATGACCTTGATGTAGCTGAGACAGGCAGAGAACAGCACCCAGGACAACACCTGCAGGGAAGGGCAGGGGCAGATGCACAGGCCTGCGATGAGCCTTGCTGGAGGGAGGCCTCACAGGGTCATGTGGGCCATGGAATAGCCTCTAGGTGCGAGGAGACCCCATGGCGTTGACGGGCATCCAGGGCAAAGGTGAACACCACAGTTTCCCTCGTGGTCAGTGCTTGTGAGACAAGGCCATTGTGGGTGGGCACAGCCAATGGAGGGTGGCATTTGGGACAACCCAACTCCCTAGAAAGAAGCACCCCACCCACCTGGCCTGGGAGGCACAGTGCCAGAGGTAGGATACTCACAATGAGGACTTCTCCTCCCCAGTGGCCCTGGAGGAGGGGGCAAGGGCTCAGTGCAGCCATGGCCATGTTGTAGGCCCCAAAGCCGGTTCCCAGAATGGTGATGGCCCCCAGGAATGGCAGAGACCTAGGGTTGAGTTGAGGAGGTAAGCAGTCTGGCCTTGGCTCCCTGCACACAGGGGTCCTCATGTGGGGAAGCCCCCAAGTGGAAAGTTCCTCCCTGGCTCCAGGGGACCAGTGAGGCTCCCAAGGCCAAGCCATCTCCTCCTTGTGTGCATGGCAGGACCACAGTCATAGCTGGGGAAAGCGGAATGTGGCTCAGGGATGTAGTAGAACCCCTGGTCCTGCCGTTTACCTGGGAGGCGAGTCTCAAGGCCTCAGGGTCCCCACCTGCTGAGGGGGGAGGTCTGGCAGGCCCATGTAGACCTGCAGGATCAGCACGTGTAAGGCAGCTCCCGACACTGGCCTTGCCTGGCATTTGATCTGGGGCCATTTCCTCTCAGGGCAACACTATGGACAACCAGGAAGCCAGGGGCAGATGAAAAGGTGGCTTTGATCTCAGCAGGAAAACTGCGCCTGAGCAGTACAGCCTTGATGACCCTCCCTTCCTGGTCTCAGTGGAGGTTTGCGGCCTCTAGGAGGCCTGGCTCCAAGGTCTCAGGGCAATCTTCCATCAGATTCAGTCTGACACTGTCCTTCCTTGGTGGTCCTGGTACCACCTCCACAGCCTCCAGGACACAAAAACTGAGAACCTGTGTCCTGCCTGGACACAGGGACCCCACTCTGGATTCTTGTGTCCCGTGGCTCTCAGCGTCACATGTCTAATGTTTGGGGCTCCTGAAAGTCTGCAGGCCTGTGGCCTCTGGACCTGCCTCCCTCCGGAACTGCTGCCCTCTCTCTGTGGCTTTGAAGTTCCCAGGGAGAAAGTCAAGCCTCCAGGCAAATGGACATTTTTTGTCTAACTTTCCTGCCCTCATTCCACTCCTGGGCTGAGCAGGTCTAAGCAGCTCTTGAGCAAAGGCAAGGCACACAGTGGCTTGGTGGCTCAGAGGATGGGAAATATCCAATTCCTGAGATATTTCCCCCAAGAAGTCAGAAGCCTCTGAGTCAGAACCACCTGGCCTGCTTATGAAAAAGGGAAACCCAGCTAGCTCTGATCCAGCCTACACAGTGTTACTGGGTGCCCAGGCATTCTAGAACCACAGCTCCCAGGGGCAACGTGGGCAGAGCTGAACTGCACCTGGTCACCCTTTCTCCCAGCCCTGGGGTCTCTGATTAGCAGCCTCAGGAGCTGCCTGCCCCTCCCCACCAGCTGCTGGTTGGTGGTGCCTGACACTTGCACTGGGCTCTCCCACTGGGCTCACGGTGCACCAGTGCTGCTCAACACCTTCCAAAACTAACCCACTGCAGGCTTCCAACAATTTTAGGAGGTAGAACAATTAGCCCCCCTATCTTCCAGGTAAAAATCCCAAAGGCCCAGTAGGGTGAAGTGATTTGTGCAATACTACATAACTGGTAAACAGCAGAGTGGAGAAACCATATCTTGTGTGGGTGGTAGGGGGCAGTATTGGTGATTGAACCCAGAGCCTTCACCCTGAGATACATCTTCAGCATTTTTTTTTTCTTATTTTGAGATAGAATCTCTCTAACTTGCTGATTACCTGGTTGGGCTTGAACTTGCAATCTTCCAGTCTCAGCATCTGTCTTAGTTACTTTTCTCATTGCTAAGGCCAAATACCAACATCCGCAAGTTAAGGGAGCAAAGGTTTACTTAGCTCACAGTTTGGCGAGGCTTTAGTCCCTATGGCTGGCTCCAGGGCCAGAGACTGCAAACTTTCATTGAAACCAAGATTGGTGCGACAGAGGGGTATCACAGAGGACAACCAGTTCATGACAGGCAGAAGACAGCAAAAGCAAATAAGCCTCTTTCTGGTCCTTGCACTGTACCCAGACCACTGGGATTAGGGTGGTGCCGAGCCCATCAGCAGGCAGATTTAATAATCACATACCCTTAATCCCAGCATCTCCCACTCTGGACTCAAGCATGCTTGAAAAGCCTCATCTATGACTGTGTAAGGTGTTAGGGGCATCTACCCACCCGGCCTCACTGAGTCATGAGGTTCCAGGTGTGCACCACCACAACTGGCTGGAAACCATGTTCTTATGCACTGCAGCACAGCCAGGTGGTGAGGCCTGGAAAGTAGGGTTCTGGAATGAAGCACTCCCCCATCAGGATTCCCCGGGGCTAGCTAATGCCCGGGGGGTTACCTGTTAGGCAGGAATATGGAGAGGAAGCAGGTGAGTGGGCTGGCCACAGAGCTGAGGGTGGCGGCCAGGTGGTAGGCGACGGGCCCATACGGCAGGCAGGAGTAGGTCTGCACGGAGGGCAGCACGCCATTGGTGAGCGCATTCACGAAGGCCACCAGCGTGTAAATGAAGGCCAGCTGTGCGGGGTGCAGGGCAGCCACCTTCTCCTCTAGGTGCCCCTTGCCCTTGCTACTCTCTTCCGGGTCCAGGGGCCCTGTGTCTCTCTCGTCACGTGGCCGGATGGAATGCAGAGTGACCTGGCACTGGAGGAGGTCCTCAATGGAGCCTTGCTGGGCCCGGGACCGACGCTGGAGCAGGAAGAAGGCCAGGAGGCAACAGCCCATCATGCCAGCCAGCAGTAGGAAGAAGACCAGTGGTGAGAAGCGTGCAGGGAGATAGCGGCTTTCCATGTGGTTGGCAGGGGCCCACACTGTGGGGCTGCTGGGTCCCTGGGGATGTCAGAGGACAGACATGACAAGGGGAACAGCAGAGACAGATGATGTACCCAAGGACTGTCCTTATAAATCATCCATACATAATGGCCTGAAACAAGATCCCCCTGCAGGATTTCAGAGCAGCCCCATTGCATTGCTCTGCCTTCCCTCACTTGGGCCAGGGCTCCAGATGTACCACCCCAGAGCTTCTAGATGAGAATTCATCTCCCTCAAATGGAACAATTTGGCTTTAACTGTTCCGAGTTCGTAGGAGACAGAGGAGTAGCTCAGAAAAGATGCCCATCTTAGAGGGAACTGAGCTCGCGGGAGGAACTTCTCATTGCAAAGCCGTCTGTTCTCCTTGTCATGTCTGTCCTCTGACATCCCCAGGGACCCAGCAGCCCCACAGGAGAACAACAACCTTCATCATCTCTGCACAATGGGACAACTTACTCAGTACCTTTGTCAGACCCCTCACCACACACCTCCTTTAACTGATCCCCATCACCCTGAAGAAGCCCCAGGTCCCTGTTCCCTCCTGCAACTCAGGACACTGTGGAAGCTCCATCCCTCTGATGACTGAGTCTTCCACACACATCACTGACATGGTGTCTCTACTGTCTACCTGCCTTGGGTCACTTTACTCTGCAGCCCCAGCAAGGACACACTGAGGTAGGAGGCAAAGCTTTCTCCCCCACCCTTGTGAATCAGCACAGAGTGACACTGTTCCAGTTAACACTGGGTACCTGCGTGCCATGGGTTTCCCATGTGGTCACAGGGCTTGAGGTGGCATCTGTGATATTGACGCAGGTGGTGATACCTGAGCCCTGGGCCAGAGCCACTAGGGCAGGCAGGAGCCCGCTGAAGCCTTCGCCCACGAAGAAGGTGGTAAGGTAGTAGGAGGGCAGCCCGCTCATGAAGGGCAGGAAAGTGACGGAGGAGGTGCAGTCGACCAGCGCCAGGAAGAAGGTGAGGACGACAAAGGCGATGCTGTGGTGACCGCTGAGCACCTTGGAGGTCATGTTCCAAAGGAAGGCAAAGAGGATGCAGGTGATGGTGCCCACGGTCAGGATGGCAAAGATAATGGGAACCTCAGAGAGGTAGCCAGGCCGGAAGCGGTGCAGCAGTGTGACCAGCAGGGGCCCAATGTTGGCCAGCTGGATGACCACCGTGAGGTAGGAGGGCAGGTGCCAGCCCTCAGGCAGCTCCATCACCAGCAGGGGCAGCTCCACCCACAGCCCGTTGATGGCCACCCAGGAGCCCATCCCGAAGACGCAGACCAGCAGGTGGACCAGGAATGCCATGGCAGTGTCTGTGTGCTGAAGGCTGCTGTCCCCAGGTCAGCCTGCGGGGATGGGGTGGGGGCTGATGGGAAAGGACACAGGGTAAGACAGTGTGAGTTTATCATCAGCCAGGAGGCTTGTTTTCTTTTTCCCCATTCTCTTATTATGTGAATAATCTGAACTTTATTAGCAAAAAACAGATGAATTCTTTTATAACTAACCTTCAAGTGGGAAGGTCTTCCTAAGACCATAAATCCAGGGACCAGAAAAGAGAATTTGGATATATTTAGCACTATGAATGTTAAAACACACAAAAGCAAATAAAGTTTCAATACACCCTCTGTAAAAAGTACTAAGAGCAGCTGGGCCCAGCAGCACATGCCAAAACCCATAATCCCCCTTACTTGGGAGTCTTGGGCAGGAGAACTGTGAATCTGAGGCTGGCCTGGGAGACTTGGTCTCAAAGACAGACAGACAGACAGACAAACTGACAGCAGGGTCAAAAGACAAATGACAACCTGGCAAAATATTTGCAACATTAAGTACAGACAAAAGGGTAATCTTTCTAAGATACAAAGAGTTTTCAAGGTCTGTAACCCCAGTACTCTGGGAAACCAAAACAGGAAGATTGCAAATTCAAGCCCAGCCTGGACAATTTAGCGGCTTTATGAGACCCTGGCTCAAAATAAAAAAAAAATGCCTGGGGATGTAGCTCATGGTCAAGACCTTAGGTTCACTCCTATAAGGTTCATCTAAAATACCCACCAAAGCCTCATGTGTTTGAAGGCGATGGGACCACAGGGCGCGGGGCCCCTCCTACAAGAAGCTTGGCTTGCTGAGGAGGCGGGGCGGGGTTGGGGTGGGGCCTGGTTGGAGGAGCCTGGTTGGAGGTGGAGCCTGGTTGGAGGTGGAGCCTGATTGGAGGTGGCCACTGGGACAACCTGGAAGGATGTACCCGCGACCTGCCTCCTCCCCTCTGTTTCCTGGCTGTCACCCTGATGCCTCTGCCAGGCCCCTTTGCCATGCAGTCTCTGCCTTGGAGCCTGTTGACCATAGGTTGGAAGTGGGAGCAGAAGTGAGCTTGTGCTCCTCTAAACTGTATAGCTCAGGTAATTTGCCCTAGAAAGTGGCTGAGACCACGAGAAGAGTTTTACAAATCAAGAACAAAAGCCCCACCAAAGAGGGCCAAGCAAACATACGAACAATGAAAAAAGGACAAAGAAGGCTTCAACTTGTGGGAAGGTTATCATCTCCTTTCACAATGGGAGAGAAAATGGACCTTAAATTGCCATTTTTCACCATGAGATGGCCCCAAAGCCAAAGGTCGCCTGCTCTGAACCCAGTGACTCACGTTTGGGATTATTTAGTCACTGTGACCTTGCAATAGCAAGACACGGGAATCCATCCAAGCAGCTATCGCCAAGGCGGGGCGGGCTGCAGAGCTCGCTACCTGCTGGGACCCGCACACCTGGCCAGGCTGGAGGAGCAAGGCTAGAGGATGAGCTCACCGTGGCCGACAGGGGCAAGGTCTGCTGTGAGCTCGGCAGGCAGCAGAGCCTCAGGGGGTGGCGTTCTTATGGTTTATATTTGCAAAAGCAAACTGGGCACCCAGGAAATGCTGAGGGTACTGGTACCACTTTATCTTTTTATATGGTTTTAACTGAACCGTGTACACTATTACCTAATATAAAAAAAATAGTAAATATTAGAAATAGTTTCACTCTGGTTCTTTTTCTCCTGCAAGCACAGGGCTCTCAGTCCCACAGACCTTTGCAGTCCACCTGCTGCAGCCCTCCAGCCCCAGGCCCCATCTGCCGCCATCCCACAGCCACCTGCTTGGTTCCCAGTGTCACCCACCTGCCCTGTCACAGCTCTCTCCAACCTGCTCCTCAGCCAAGCCAAACCATCAGAGGGGCCAAGGCAAAGATCTAGAAGAGCTGCCTGGATTGCCCCAGCTCTGCCACATGCTGGGTGACCCTGGGCAGGTGACTTAGCCTCTGTGTGTCTTGTTTTCCTGACTGCCAATCAAGGACTTTCATCAAGGGACCTCAGGGCTTGTGATGAGGGCAGGCTTTGCTTTGAGGGCGCCTTCATCATCATGGAGAGATGCCAGGATGGGTGACATAGCTTTTTTTACTTCATATGAAAATCTGAAACATGACTACTAAATTTAAAACAGAAAAATGTTCACCCAGTAGTTTGGATCCTGGAATCCTGGGGCCACTCTTGTTCTGGGTGCCCCAGCGGGGGGCCCTCTTCCTCACCTGTAATCTCTGACACCTGGCAGGCAACCCCCTCCTGTTCATACACACAGCCACCCATGTCTCTGGCACAAGCCCTAAGTTCTGCCAACGGGCAGGCCAGGAGGAGAGACCCAGGACAGAAGACGCTTCTAGGTGCCTCAAGGCTGCTGAGCCGGCCTGACCCGGAGATCTGCGTTGCCCGCCCCACCACATCTAGTCAGGGAGGAAGCTCCTGTCCACCTACCTCACCTGTGTCCTCTGTGGCTGAGGCTTGCCGGGCTGCCTTGCTGCCTGGCACAGCGAGAACAGGCGGCCTTTCTGGTGACACTGAGCTCCCAACTCGGGTCAGGCCAGGCCAGATTTGCTCAGTGTGTCAGACTCCCTTAGTGTCAGCTTCAGGTCTGAGGATGTCATTCAAAGTTCAGGGTTTGGTACTCTGGGGAACATTTTGGCAGATCTGGCCACACAGGCCCACATGCCCACACAGCAGCAGTACCTCTTGCTCTCCCTAGTTGAGGTTCCCCTTGGCCTCTGTAGGTACAGAGACCCCTGATTAAGCCTTCTGCTTTATGTTTGTTTTGCTACCTGGAACTCAGATGTAATGGCCAGAATTCCAGAAGCTAGTTTGTACTATGTAGGACTACTTTCCGTTGGGATTCTGTGGTAGCCGTACAGCCCTATTCTACCTTTCCTAAACTTGCTGTTTGCTGTTCCAGTTATTTAAGATGTTTAACTTCTGTCTTATTCTTATTTTACATACAGCAAAACACTGGAACACTGGTGAAGTGTACAAAGACATATGTTCAGGGAGATATATATATATATATATATATATATATATATATGCTATATTTTCCTCCTCTGCCCCCAATGTCCCATCTCAGGAACTCAAGTCTTCTCTCAACCAAAATGTTATCACAAATCAAAATGTAACAATAGCTATTTAGACTCACCTTTAAAAGACACTAAGAAACACTTAACATGGAATGAAGTTCAGCCTGGTTCTAGAATTACAAATGAACGACTTTTAAGATCTTCAGTGGAATATACTTCTATAATCCCATTATTATACTCCTATAATACTATCACTTTCTGAGGTTGAGGCAGGACAATCACAAGTTCGAGTCTACCCTAGGCAATTTAGTGACTTAGTAAGACTCTGTCTAAAACAAAATAAAATTTTAAAAATAAATAAATAAATAAATAAATAAATAAATAAAAGGCTGGGATGTTTTGCACTGAAAAAGTCCTAGAGTCAATCACTAGTACTATAAGAAAAACAAAACAAAAAAACACTAAAAGATTAAAATTATTAATTTTGAGGACAAAGATCTTATGGAGAAATTTACCAAAAAAAAAAAAAAGAAGAAAAGAAAAAGAAAACAAGACACATTTGAGCCTAGTCTGGGTAACTTAGTGAGACCCTCTCAACATAAAAATAAAATGGGCCGGGGCATAGCTCAGCCTGAGGCTCTGGGTTTGATCTCCAGTACTGAGGCAGAAAAGAAAGAAAAGAGCTGGGCATGGGAGCAAAAGCCTGTAATCCCAGCACTTGGGAGGCTGAGGCTGGAAGATCACCTGGGCTACATAGCAAGAACCTGTATCAGGAAACGAAACCAAAGCAAAGCAAAGCAAAAATAAACTGAGGCCCAGAGACATTGTGGTATAAAGAGATAGCCCCCCAGGTCAGACCTGTGGCTTCTCTGTATTGTGAGTAGCACCTGCTCCCCTAGGAGCCCAGGCCTCCTGGGAGGGGAGAGGCACAGTGGTGGCAGCTGACAGACTGCTCCAGGCCAGGCCAGTGGAAGGGGCCAAGGCGGCGAGGCTGAGGAGGCAGGGAACCATACACCCAATCCAGGAACGAGTCAATTATTAAAAGCAGCAGGCAGCTTCACAGAAGCAGCTGGCCTTTGGCGGCTGGAAAGTGGTTCTGCTGTGAATAGATGGAGACATGGGGTTACACATTGACACACCTGGGACCTGGACCCCTGGATGCTTCACACCCAGTGACCACGGCCGTCCTTGGGATCTGACCCCAGCATCACAGCCACACAGGTGGAGGGCAGCGGTTTGCTTCCTAGGGCTACTGTCCCTCATCCAGAAAACAGATGTGCTGATGGCTGCTGCTTCTGTCCTCAAAGTGTGTGTACTTGTGTCCCTGTTCCTGCTGCCACAGTGAGGGGACATCCTGGGCATGGGGGAGGTGCAAAGGCCCAGATGTTGGGAACTCATGAGGAGCCAGAATGACTGATGTGGGGTGCTGGGGACCCCATGTTTACAAGGGGAGTGCTAGGCTGGGTTATGGAGCATGTGCTCAATACACAGAGGCCCTGAGCTCAACCCCAGCACTGCAGGTAAAGGAGGAAGATTCATATATACATTATCTATTCTGTCTATGCCCAACTTGTGTTTTGTTGTTTCTTTTAACTTATATATTTGGTACAGAATCTCACTATGCAGCTGGGACTTGTATTGATTCTCTTCTTTTCAGCCTCCCCAGCGTTGGGATTATAGGTGTGTACCACCACGCCCTGATTCAGTCACCAGCTAGTGCGCCCCAAAGGCGAGGCTGGCATGGTGTGCAGGACTGGGGATCAAACCCTGGTCCCTGCGCTTGCCAAAGCAGGCGCTTAGTCCACTAAGATGTGTCGCTGGCTCTGAGTTGTGTATCTTGTTTATTCATTTAAAAGGTATTCTGGGTGTCTACTAAGTGCTGGACAATAATTCCTGCTCGTAGGAACCTACAAGAAGCAGTCACAAAAAAAACAAAAAACAAAACCAAAAATATGGAGCAAGTCAGGGGGTGGCAAGGGATGTGGAGGAAGCAATGCTGGACGGGGGAAGTGCAGATGGAAGAGGGTCTAGGGTGGAGACAACAAGCCAAAATGCCTCGGGTGGGGGGCCTCCCCACCAAGTCCCAGAAATAGACCTCGGTGTTCAAAGAACAGCAGGCAGGTCAGTGTGGCCACAGTGGAGGGAGTGAGGTGACGGGCGGGCAGAGAGCAGAAGTCACCTCAGCCTGGAGGTGGAAGCTGTGGTGTCTCTCCGCAGCCAAGGCCCATTCCTGGGCAGAGGAGAGGTTGCTCCGGTGCGATGTTTAACATGCCTGCTGTGGTGAACACAACAGTTAGGAGTAGGGATGGCAGGAGCAAAGCCAGCCAGCCTGTGAGGAAGCTGCCGAAATCCCCCAGGAGAAAGGATGAAAGAGGAGGCAACTCTTTGCAGCTGTTCAGTGAGCTCTCAGCGCACACACCTTCCTCTACACCCCCTCCACAGTCCTGAGGAGACCACTAAGGTTATCTCCATTCTAGGGACAGGAATGTGACGCTCAGAAAGAGAAAGACTTTTGCCAGCCTGTTGAGCCAGCAGGCTCTGAGATTTTAGCTTAGCATCCCCCACACCCTGTGAGGAAGCCTGCTGCTCTGGGCCATGGAACAGAGCAAGTTTTACTGGCTAGGGCATCGACAGCACCTGGGTTGGGAAGGAGAGAAACAGGGTTGTGCACAGAAGAATAGGCAAAAGGGCCAAAAAAAAAAAAAAAAAAAAAAAAAGCTGCTCCCCCAGGACTCGGGGCCTTTTATGATTGAGGGAGCCTAGAAGCAAGTCCAACAGCAGAGCCCGGAACAGGTGGGCAGATAGGGAGGGCAAAAGGGCCAGTGCTTCCCCCACCTTGAGATTTTGGGGCTCCATCTCAGGCCCTCACATATCCTACAAGCCTTCTGCCACCGAGCTGCACCGCAGCCCCACTTCTGTATTCCTGCATCAACAAAACCTGAGCATTTCAAGCCCAAGAGAGTGGGAGTGGGGGTAGGTTCTGCCCAGGGCACCCTGGCTGTGTGGGTTGGGCCACTCCTGTCCCACCCCCATGACCTGCAAGGCCCAAGCCCCACCCCCTAGCTTGCAGTACTCTCACACACCAGCTGAAGGACGGGAGTGCTACTCTTTCCCATGGGAGCATTATTTCCATGGGAACAGGTCCTGTCCTCTCCCCTAGTGCTCAGGTGCTGCCTGCTTGCTAAGGGCTGGCACTGTGCCGGGTTCTCACTCTGAGCGGATAAGCAGGCAGCTGGCAGGCACCAAGTTCTGGGGGCCAGACCAGGGACATGTGGGCCAGTGCGGTCCCACAGCATACCTGGTGGCCTGGGTACTATACCAGTCCAGCTAGAGGGTGGGGGTGGACCTGGGCTATACAGATTCCTGACCCTTGGAAACTTAGCAGTCCTCCAGGCCCCTGCTGGGACTGGGCCCTAATGACACTGGGTGGACTGGGTTTGTTCTGGAGAGGGAAAGTCAAAACCAGAAAACCTAGAGAGACCCACAGGGACACAGAAAAAGCTGAGACTGAGAGACATAAAGAACCAAAGCAGAAATGGGCAGTTGGAAAGACAAGAGTTGGGTGTGGCAGTTCACACCTGCAGTCCCAGCACTCTGGGAGGCTGAGACAGGAGAATCACAAGTTCAAGCCCAGCCTGCACATCTTAGTATGACCTGCCTCAAAATAAAAATAAGGAAAACAAGGGCTTAGGGCAGCCTGAGGATGTAGCTCAGTGCGAAGGTCCTGGGTTCAGTCTCTAACGATGAAAAACAAAGGGGAGAAAAGAAAAGAATAGAAAAAAAGTTCAATAGAGAATGAAACCCACTGGACAGAGATAGAAGCCAGCCAACCATGCGAGGAGCCTGGGGAAAGGTGCTGCTGACATCCACAAGAAACAAGAGGTCTCTCCCTCTTCCACTTGCTTTAGACCTCTGGGCCCCCTAAGCTCACTGTCCACCTGGCAAAGGTATGGAGCAGCCAGCGAGCAGGCAGTACTTGCCGGCACCCTGACCAACCAGGATCTCAGGCCTGTGCTCACAGGCTGTGTGGCTTGAAGCCCGCTGCTCACCCTCTTTGGGACTGTGGTCTGCATCTGTGAAAGGGTCTGGGCTGCCATAAGGGAGGAGATAATGGCCCAGGCAGGATCTGTGTTCCCTTCCCTCCCCTCTTCCGCGCCAGGCAGGGCTTCCAGCCTCCCACTGCCGAGCAGGAGACGGAAACCTGCCCGTCCCACCCCACACAGCCAGGCTGCTGCAACTCAGCCTCCGACCGGTAGCGGTGGTGGCGTCCAGGGCCTGGCACAGAGATGCCCGGCAAACTGGGTCAGCGCGCAGGAGCCCTGGAGTCCCGGTCCCGACCCAGCCCGGGCCGTCGAGGAAGCAGCGCGTCTTCCAGCCCATCCCGCGGCGTGGAACTGGGGGAAAGGTCACAGGCCGCTGTGCTCCAAGTTTTCCGCTCCCTGCGCCCCGTGCTGGACGCCGGGCCCTGGGTGCGCGGTGCCCCCAGCCCCACCACTCACCTCGGGTCCTGACCCGGCTCTGCGGGAGAGCTCCCGGGAGCGCGCACCTGTCCCCGCCCGGCAGGAGGCGGGGTCTCCGGCCAGCTGGGAGGAGCCAGCGACATCAATTCTTGCTGGGCTCTGGGACAGGGCGCTTTTAGTAGGGATAATGGGACGGCTGAGCCCCGAGGAGCAGACCTGACGGCTGCTGAGCGCCCGGAGCTGAGGATTCAAGCCTGGCGCGAGAGGGACCCTGGTTTTAGGGCGCCTCACCGTCAGCGCAGGTCACAGCAGCCCGGAGCGCCGAAGCGGGGAGCAAAGAGACCCTTCTCACTCCTGTCTTTTGGGTACATCTGATCCTCTCCCATCTTACTGCGGAGGAAATGTGGGCCCAGAGCAGCAGAGACTCGGGTGCACCCCGCGCTCACCCAGGCAGCGCTCCTCTCCGCGCTCTCTGGGAGCCCCCTGACCCCAGCAGTGAATGTCTGGTTACTGTTCAGCCATTCTAGGGGCAGGTGCCACTTTGAGGCTCACATCCTGAAGGCTCTGGGCTATGACTGGAATCCAGACACCCTCAGTGTAAAGGATCTCGCAGGGCCTGCTGGGTGACCATCGTGGCAGCTCACCTTGCTGTCTGGTGCACTTTGTGGGTTTCTCTCAGAGACACGCGTTTGTGTAATGAGCCACCACTGCAGATGCTTGAGAGGATAGGGACCCGCTTTTAGCTCCGCAGGGGGCTTTCGGGACACCCGAAATAAGACTTTAGAAGATGGGGGTGTGACTTCTCTGCACCACACAGATGTCTCTGGCATAGCATGAGCTGGTTAACACCAGAGCTACTGGAAAGCTCTGGGACACGCCTCAGAGAACTACGTGGCCGTCAGGATGGCTGTGCTAGTAAAACTGTGTAGAGGAAGAGGATGCTGTAGACAAGTTTTTTTTTTGCCAGAGCTAGTTTATCTGCATGAAGAGACAATCTTTACCCACTGTACCAGTCCTCTTCTCACCATCCTGTGACACGGGAGCCACCCCACCTGCTCTGCACCCCTAGACCCTCATCCCTTCTGGAGCTCAGGGCTCAATATAAGCTGAGGCCACCTGCCCTTCTCCAAGTCTCCTGTGTACAGGCACATCACTAAAAGCATTCCTTTTGTTGATGTGTCCCACATCAGTTGAATCTGTAACAAAGCCAGAGGACTTAGAAGGGTGGAGGAAAGCCACTGTTCTCCTTGCTACCACAGCAGATACTTTGTATATCAGGGTCACAAGGCTCTGCTCCCCAGAGAGCCTGGAACACTTGTCCCCTAGCAGGCTGTCCCAGTGAGGCCCTCCCAGGGGTGCTCCACAAGAAGTCCTCCCTTAGATGTGCCCCACATCCCAGCTGCTGACAGCCAACTTCTCACAGGGGTTTCTCATACCAGCTCAAAAAAAAAAAAAATTCTTATCATCCACAACCTTCAAAAAAAAAAAAAAAACCCTGTTGCTCACTAAATCAAGAAAAATACTGGGGCCAGGAAGATGGCTCAGTAGAATAAATGATTGCCTGGCAAGCACAAAGGCCTGAGTTCAATCCCCAGTCCTGCCAAAAAAGAAAGAAAGAGCTTTTCCTCCCTGGCTGTCTGAGGATCCCTTGCCATCATGAATGACACAGTAACTATCTGAACCCTGAAATTCATGACCAACTGGCTTCTTCAAAGGAAACAAATGGTCACTAATGTCCTTCACCCTGGGAAAGCAACAGTACCTAAGACAGAAATTCGGGAAAAAACTTGCCAAAATGTATAGGACCACACCAGATGTCATTTTTGTGTTTGGATTAACCATTTTGGTGGTGGCAAGACAACTAGCTTTGGCATGACTTATGATTCCCTGGATTATGCAAAGAAAAATGAGCCCAAACATAAACTTGCAAGACATGGCCTGTATGAGAAGAAAAAGACCTGAAGAAAGCAGTGGAAGGAACACAAGAACAGAGTAAAGAAAGTCAGGGGCACTGCAAAGGCCAACGTTGGTGCTGGCAGACAGTAAGCTGGAGACTGGAGACTAGCCAAAGGCGGAGAAATTCTGCAGTGCCTGTCTGCAGTAACTGTGACTTTTTTCAAGAGAGGATTTAATAAACTGTAAAACCTTCAAAAAACAAAAAAAGAAAAAAAATACTGAAGTCTCACATGTAAGTCCTTTCTGCAGCAGAATTAATAAGCACTGAGGACTCATCTCTCTCTTGCCTGTCACCTTTGCTGCTCGTACCCAGAGCTGCTCCATATTCTCTCAGTGTGCACAGAACTGCAGAGCCACCAAATCCTGCTCCCACCCTTCCACTAGAATACCCTTTCTGCCCCCATCTCTGCCCTGAGCTGACGCCTATTTCAAAGCATGATCCAATCAACCTTTCAAAACGCAATCTGGTGGTGCATGCCTGTAATCCCTGCACTAGGGAGGCTAAGGCAGGAGGATTGCTTTGAGTTAGAGGTCAGCCTCAGATACATACTGAGTTTAAGATGAGGATACATCACATAATGACTGCCTGTCTTAAAAGAAAAAGAGTAAGAAAGAAAGAAAAGAGAAGAAAAAGAAAAAGTGCTCTGATGCATACTTCAAAGCCAATCTCAAATGCTACCTCCTCTGATGAAATCTTTCCTGATCTTTAATGCAAAATAACCAGTAAACATCAGGAATTTACTAAATGTACACGTCAATGAATGAACTCAAACCAATATATTCTCATTTCTAAAAATCTCCAGAATTTTTTTATAATTTTTGTTGTTTATTTAATAGACTGTTTTTTGCCCCCCTCTTCTTCCATCCCTCCCTCCCTCGTCCCTCCCTCTGTCCGTCTGTTGCTTCCTCCCTCCCTCCTTTACTTCCTTCCTTCCTTCCTTCCTTCCTTCCTTCCTTCCTTCCTCTCCCTGTCTCTCTCTTGTGCTGGGATAAACCCAGGGCCTTACATGTACTAGGCAAGCACGCTACTGCTAGGTTGCATCTCCAGCCCGCCTGAGCACTTGTAAGTTCACTGAAAAACATTCCACCCACCTTGTTTCCACAGGGCCCAAGAGCACAACTGTGTACATCATTCAGAACCTTTTTTCTCACTTAATGACCCAAAAGATTTTTTTCTATCCTCTACAGTGAGATCATTCATTCATTCAGCAAATGGCCTGAATGCCAGCTCTTCACTGAGTACAGTGGGAGGTACTTGGGACATAGGACTGGCCAGAGACCAAGTCCTGGCCACAGACAGCTGGTGCTCTGGTGGAGGACCTCGGATGCGGTCATAGCAAGCAGCGGAACCTGACCAGAGTGACTAAAGTAGGGATGGACTGCACAGAAGGGAGCCAGTACAACTGCTGCCATGGGGAGACCTGGCTCAAGAGCACGATGGGGTGGGAGGTGGGGTGGCAGGTGTAGCTGGGGCCCCAGAGGAGAGCACTGGCGCGTGCCTTCCATCAGTCCTGTGGGAGTGTAGCCCCCTCCCCACTACCTATCCCTGGCCAGCAGGAACAGTGCTGCAATGAATACCGGCCCATCCATGTCTTTTGCCAGCTGTGACCTGGACAGTTCGTCCTGTCCACAGGGTGTCCCCGGCCCCCACCCCTGCAGGAGATGCACCCGAATAGGCTTTCAGGGCAGGTCCAGAAGGAGCAATTCTGGGGGAGACCATGGCAGACAGAAGCTTTCTCCGGTCTGCAACCAGTACGGTTCCCACCGAGAAACCCCAGCCTAGGGAAGGACAGGAGGCGCCACTGGGGGACCAGGAGTGCACTCCAGAGCCGGTGGAGGGCTTTCTGTGGTATGGGTCTCTTTTACAGGGGCTTGTGTGGGGCCTGGAACCCCAGATGAAAAGGTGGGAGCCCAAAGGGAGGGCTGTGGATAAAAAAGACATGAGCAAAGAAGGTCAGAGGAAGGCATATCCAAAGGGCCCAGCTTCCTACTAGGGCCTGCAGCCCAGACTTCCCTGAGATATGTTAATTATTTAGGAGTCCATAACTCTGTTATGCAACCTAAACTTTAAAAGTACTTTAAAAAGGAAAAATAAAAAGAAATAGCAAATGCTATCTTTTTTTTTCTTTTTAAATGTATTTAGTACAGAGGCTACAGGGTCTCACTACGTAGATCAGACTCCTAGTGATCCTCCTGTTTTCAGCCTCCCAAGCACTGGGATTACAGGCAGCACCACCAGGCCCAGTCTCAGTTGCCTTCTCAGTGCGCCCTGGGGCGGGGCAGGCATTGCATGCCTCTGGAGATGGAACCCCACGCTGCACTCTGCCTAAGCAGGCGCTTTAATCCACTGAGCTATCTGGCCAACCCAGCAAATGCCATCTTGGGCCATATCAGTAAAGGTCTTCAAGGCAGAGGGAGAAGATTCCTCCCTGCTGGCTCAAAGCAAGTCCTCTGTTCTCCTTGACCTTGTCCTTGAAGAAAGATGACTGCCTGAGACTGCCAGGAGGTGGGTGTGGGGCTGATACCGGGCACAGAGGGGAGCTTGCGCTTTATGGAGGAACAGGTTCCGGTGTGCGGCCTCTGGTATGGACCATGGCATGGCGTCTGCCCCCTCCAGGGCTGAAATCCTGGATGGCGCATCCTCTGCTGGGCAGGTCTGGTTTGAGGCACCAAGACGCTGCTGATGGAGGTCTTGCTCCTTAGGCACTACTAGAAGGAAGTCAGAAGGAACCTCGAATTGAGACCGGACTGGGCATCAATCCTGGGCAGGCCACAGGGTCCTCATCTGGGTAGGTGGGTGCTTCTGGATTTTACCCACCTATCCCAATCTTGAGTTGGTTTCCGGTTAAGATTCGAACCCAAGGACTTGCAGTCCCAACAATCTGCCAACAGAGGGCACAACCTCACCTGTTTGAAAAATGAAAAAATTTGGCGGCCAAGGGCCCTGAGGCTAGCTAGCATCCTCTTTCTCTCCTTTCAATAACTGCTTGTGAAACTTAGCTCTGTTCTGTACACTGAGAATATAGCGGGGAACAAAGCACCCCAAGAAGAGCTACTGATCTTCCTGCAGACTCCACATAAACCATTTGTGGAATCCAGACCTTGGCCATTCTGCACC